TCTTTTCATCATAAAACACATCTTCAAGGAATATATAATCCGAATCGTCCAAAATAGTCATACCTTTGAATACTTTCTTATATATTGCTAACTGTTCAAACGTGCGTCCATTCATATAATGATTTATAAGTTTTGCTAATGTATTAATATCTTTGTCATAACCAATAGGAATAAACTGTTCTATATCTTTATCTGAAACCTTACTACGAATATTAATTGCTAAAGACTGCATACGGAGGTTTGAAGCACTTTCACGAATTTGAGGTTCAAATATCTGTTGGCTTATATTCTGTCCGAACTCTGTCATTTCTTTAAAACCTGTCTCTTTATCATATCTGAACATAAGTTTATCATAAATGTAACGAGGTATATTAATGTTCTTTGAACCTTCATCCATAAGAATTTGTATTCCTTCAAGGAAAAATTTCTTAGGGTCGTCTGAGTCCTTAATAAAATCTACAAGACCTTTGCCGATACCTTTACTACAGAATTTCTTAGGTAACTTATCTTTGACTGCTTTTAGTCCTATCATACCTTCTTTGGTTGGTCGAAAAATTCTAATGACTTAGTAGTGTACTTTGAAACATAAGACGAATTTTGAGTAATAAGATAAGGATTGACTTTCATACCAAGTTCTTTATTAGCACCAACGATTCCGAATGCCCAATGGTCTTTTATGCGCTGAATAATTTCTTCATCTGCGTATTTGTTATATGTTGCATCAAAAAATAGTAATGCGTGATATGACCTCTTTTAGTATTGATTTCTCCGTATTCGGAAACCCCAAAAGTACTTGAAGCCTTTAGTAATACCTTCTCTTTTCAAACTGCTTTCTAAATGAGTTTAAATACCTGTTCTTATCTTGATGATTGAAACAAGGAAAGAAATCTACACGACCATCACCATTACGATAATAATGTTTAGGCATACAACGTTCACTGTAAGTAAAGGTAGGGAAAAATACCTCTGCCACCTTTATCATAACAGTCTATTACTTCTTGACGTACACGAAGCCCACCATTGATGTTTGCATATCCTTACGGCAACCTTCACACTTGCCACAAGGAGAAGTAAAACATAGGTTTATCTAAACCAAGTAGGAAACTACGAGTACGATTTACAAATGTATTTGGATGTTCACAAGCCATATTCAATTATTTTTACTTTTTGGTTAGTTTTTATTCTTAGATAATCTTATCTTCTTTAATATAGAGAATATATTAATAGTATATATATAAGTACCATTGAGGACTTTAAGAACACTTTTAGAGTACTTACATAATATTTATCGCGGTTTATTAGGGTAATTTTTGACAAATTATTAGCGAACCTTTGGTATTATTAACACTTTTAACTAAAATATTATCTCGTGTGATTACATTTTGCACACGGAATGATAGTTTTTTAATAAGGTATACTTATATGTCAAATTTTGAGTATTCTGTCCCTAATAATAGACTTTGTAATTATGTTTTACTAATAAATAGTACTGTTTTTGAAAAAATACTCAATAGGAATAATTTTTTTTTTGTTTTTTTTTATTTTAACGATTTTAGAATGATATTAACTATTTAAACCTAAATCGGTTTATACGAAATAAACTTCACTGACATAATTATGTCGTGAATTAGCATTATTAAATAGGACGTATCCGTCCTGCTCGTCTGAGTAAACTCGCAAAATAAAAAAGGTAGGCTTTTATACCTACCCTAATTTATCACATATTTTAATAGGAACGAACTCCACCACCTGCACCACTTTTATTTGGTTTAGATTTTTGTTCTTCTTTATCTTTAATCATTTTACCTACAGGGTCAGAAACCAAATTATGAAGTGCCTTATACGGATTATCATAACCATCTGTATCCAACTTTTTAAGTTCAAGATAAAGTTTAGTTGCGGCTACTTTATCGATTCCAATTGCTTCAATGGCTCTTTGAGTCGCTTGCTTATTTTGCAAATCAATTGCACCAACTTGCAACAAGAATCTTAAATTGTTCAGTCTGTTGTTTTGTCAATTCAACACGTTCTGTAATCTCATTAATTTGAGCATCATAAACCTCTAAATTTTAATAGCAACCTTTGCTTGAGCGGCTGACAACTTACCATCTTGATACAACTTATAAACCTGAGCTGCTGCAATCCTATTCTCATTACTCATACGCTTGTTCGTTGAAACCTTTCTCCTGCAACCAACGTTCAGAAGCAATCAAAATGTCATTAGTAATTTGTTCATTTTCCTTTTTAATCAAATCAATCTTTGCCTCAATCTCTTCACCTTGTTTACCAAGTAATTTGAGATTCTCTTTGAGAACAGCAATATTTGCATCTTGTTCTTCAAGTGCCTTTTGTACACCTTTGTGAGCATCATCAAACTGTCTCTGTAGATTATCATTAGTAATACCTTGTCCTTTAGCCTGTTCTTCTACAAGTTTAGCCTGTGCCTCTGCTAACTTAGTTGTAGCATTAGCCTCGCATAAAAGACGCCATATCCATAGGAGTAGCAAACATATCTGAACCTTTAGACGATGGAGTAGGGGCGGTAAGAGGAGCACTATAATTACCTTCTGAAATCATAGCGGGATTAAGACCTGCATTAAGTAAGGACTGTTTTTGATACTGAGCATTATTAAGCATAATTCTGAATGTTCATTTGATTAGTACGGTCTTGGTTGATAAGCGAATTGCTTGTTCTGTAGTTTTTATATTTCGTTTGGCGAAGATAGCATTAAGTCCTGTACCTATTGCTGACTGTGCTGCAGACGTTGCAGCTGCTTGACCAAACGCTCCAAAATCGAATGCCATAGTTATATTATTATTAATTTTATTATTAGTATTATTTATAAAAGAAAAGGGAGGGAGAATTTTCTCCTCTCCCTAATCGAGAATTAAACCTTTTCAAACTTCTATTGTACCATTATCTGAGCGGTCGAAATCTTCATAAGAAGAAGACATAGAAAGCATAGGAGTAATAGCCTTAACTTCAAAGACATTGTGAATTATGAAATTGTCGGGAACATTATCTGAGAATCCTCTAAATTCCTCATCACCACTGTTATCGAAAATTCGGTCGTAATTACCGAGCCAAGGTTCTCTACCAACGTAACGCCAAGAGGTAGGAAGCAACCAAATTTTGAGGGTCGAAAATAAGTTACGAATCCGTCTGTTTCATTAACCTTGTGACCTCTTGCAATAGCGATGTTCTTATCCAAGGTATAAGGCAACATATCATCTTTCATAGAACCGGAGGGACATATCACCATTAAGGACATTCTGCTTTGTTTATATTCAGTATAACGAGGAACGAGACCGAATGAATTATTAGCACCGATACCAAGACCATAAGACTCAATAGTATCATCTGTAATTTCACCGATAACTTCGGCTTTCTTCATAACTTGATAACCGACAGCGTCAAACTCTGAGGTGTAGAAATCATAGCGACCAAGATGGAGGACATTTCTGTCAATACCTTGATTGTAATTTCCCTTTGGAACGATACAACCGAGGGTAAACCAATAACCGAAAGTAGAGGCTGTGAATTTCTTCTGTGAACCGCTTCCGCTACCTGTACCTTGACCTGCATAATCACCGAGAGGCATAGAACCTGCATCTGTAGAATTCATAACATCACTAATCTGTACTGAAATGGAATCTGAGCCGATGTAATTTGGCTCGTGGGCATCCATATACTTAGCACCATAATGAGCACTGAGATAGTCTGCAATACGTCCACCAATGACATTATTTTTATTAATCATCTTAGTAAGTTTTTCCAAGATGTCAAGACGAGTCTGTCCGATAGCATTCGGTAGAATCTATATAAGGAAGATTTCCATCAGCGGGCTTATTCCAATGAAAGAGCAGAACCTCCATAATCAACAAAATTCACATTCATAGAACTTTGTTCGAGGTTAACTGTCTGCTGAGCAATACTTACACTATTAGGACTCTCTGTATAATATGTCTTAGTAGCAAGGTCTTCAAGGAACTTTGCAAAATAGCAATACTTGCCATTGAAGTTGTATATATTACTCTGTGCTATGCATAATTACCTTTGCACACCAAGTATCTTCCAAGTAAGATTTCTCTGAACCTCAAAAATATCAAACCATACTTTTTAGTAAGCGAACAATGGAAGAACTGAAACATTAATATTCTGTGTTCTAAAGTTAGGCTTATAACCACAACCAAATAAGAATTTGTCTCAAGTTACGACCTGCAACGGAGCAACTTATAACAAGCAAGGTATATCTTACTACCATTTTGGAATACCATGTATAGTCGGCAGAATCGAAAGTAACTGCAAAATTACCTGCTACATAGGTAGGCTTAAAATTAAGAGTGGCGTTTGAAACGTTATGAGGAAGAACACCTGCAGTATGCATTGTGTTAAACTCAGCAGTACTCAATGGAGTAAGGTCGTCGTAATCCCATCTATGCTCATTATTATCGTTATCATAACCATTAATCTCATACACTGTACACTCTGACCAACTACCTATAAGATAGCGTGAAATTACACTAAGACCAATATAAGGCACGCTATTAGGGAATATATGATGAGCCATTCTGTGATGCATAAGGCTGTTCTGAAATGAAACTTTCAAACGGTTCCCAGATAGTACTCATAGGTACAAATTGGTGGAACATATTATAACTTACACGTGCCATAGTAGGGCGAACCATAGGAGCAAGACGAACAAAAGAATTTGCCTGTACTTCAAGTGTCTCGTGTGGAATCATCTCGCGGCACATAAGGGGCTGCACAAAGCCCCAATGGGCTGTAGTTGAGTTATCAAAGGAAAGGTCGAGCACTTCTCTATCACGTACCGACTTACCTACCTTAATATTAGGAATTGAATTTGCCATAGTTAATTATAGTTTTAATTTTTATTCTTTATTTTCTGTAACTGTTTCGACTGATTCGGACTTTTGCTTGTCCTTATAGTCAAGGTCTAACAACTGATTAAAATTTTTTTCACTCAAGTAATCTTTGAGAGCATCAAGTTCAACAGGGTCTGTTGAATCGAGGAGATGACCGACAGGAATTGTTTTAAGGTCAACACCTGCCTTAATTAAATTCTCAAGGGTGTAAATCTCAGAATCGGGCAACTGCTTTTCTATAGTACTCATAGGAGTTTCTTGAAAAACAACCTTCTGAACGATACCACCGTCTTCATTTTCTTCTGAAACAATAGAACGAACTATTTCTGTTCTTTCAATGTTTGCAATCTGTGGAACATAGCCACACTTTTTCTTTCTAATAAATCCCATAGTTTTTTAGTTTTAATTATTATTTTTGTTATAAAATCAAGGCAAACAAGTGCCGAGAATAAGCCATACATTTTAATAGTCTCCTTCATAATGTCTCTTGTTATCTGTCCATTTTTTAATTAAGTTAATTTTTTGGTCGTTAGGCAACTTTAACCATACATCAGTAAGCCTTGAATTAATAGACTTTACTTTTTCCTGTAAATCCTTAATTTGGTCTTCGTGATGAATAAGTGCTTTGAAATTCAACACTACGAAGAAAACCGCAAACGTAATGAATAGGATGTCAATAATAGTTGCAATAGTAGTCATCTTGATTTAGTTTTTATTCTCTTTGTTATTAAATTCTATACCTAACATAGAAGAAGTGAACATAAGCAACTGAGCAATAAACCATAAGACGGTCGAATCTATAATGCCTGTAGGGGGAGTAACAAAACCTGCTACACCGAAGCATATACTACAAATAAATGATGCTATACTAAGCCTATATTTCAACTTTGTTTTCATAGTTAAGTTTTAGTCTTTATATATAAATAGTATTTAGTTTTGAAAAGTTATGTTTTACATAATATTTATTTCAATTTTTTTTGGGAAAATGTGCCATTTCACTTTCTACGAAAGTATCAATAACACTGTGTGACCGTCTGGCGACGGCACACATTACCGTTTGTAGAATTTAAATATCTGTTGTGTTCTTGATAATGTCTTAATATTAAATGCCTGCTGTTTAAGTTCTGCCTTAACTTCACGGAGTTTCTTTTCTTCATCTAATCTTACTTTAAGTCTACGCATAGAGGCTAATTTCTGAATATACTCAAGAATTTCTAATATATGGTCAAAACCTTTAAAACAAGAATGATTGTTATATGAAGCGGAATTTAACTCACATAAATAACTGTCCTTTTTAAGCATAGGTTCATCAGTCCAATCCTGTGAAAGTCTATCTGAAATACTGATTCGACATTTCTCATTATTAATTCTATTCGCATAACGCATAAATTTCTTTTCATCATAAAACACATCTTCAAGGAATATATAATCCGAATCGTCCAAAATAGTCATACCTTTGAATACTTTCTTATATATTGCTAACTGTTCAAACGTGCGTCCATTCATATAATGATTTATAAGTTTTGCTAATGTATTAATATCTTTGTCATAACCAATAGGAATAAACTGTTCTATATCTTTATCTGAAACCTTACTACGAATATTAATTGCTAAAGACTGCATACGGAGGTTTGAAGCACTTTCACGAATTTGAGGTTCAAATATCTGTTGGCTTATATTCTGTCCGAACTCTGTCATTTCTTTAAAACCTGTCTCTTTATCATATCTGAACATAAGTTTATCATAAATGTAACGAGGTATATTAATGTTCTTTGAACCTTCATCCATAAGAATTTGTATTCCTTCAAGGAAAAATTTCTTAGGGTCGTCTGAGTCCTTAATAAAATCTACAAGACCTTTGCCGATACCTTTACTACAGAATTTCTTAGGTAACTTATCTTTGACTGCTTTTAGTCCTATCATACCTTTGCACTCTATGAATGCTTTTACCTTTGGTTGGTCGAAAAATTCTAATGACTTAGTAGTGTACTTTGAAACATAAGACGAATTTTGAGTAATAAGATAAGGATTGACTTTCATACCAAGTTCTTTATTAGCACCAACGATTCCGAATGCCCAATGGTCTTTTATGCGCTGAATAATTTCTTCATCTGAGTATTTGTTATATGTTGCATCAAAAAATAGTAATGCGTGATAATGACCTCTTTTAGTATTGATTTCTCCGTATTCGGAAACCCAAAAGTACTTGAAGCCTTTAGTAATACCTTCTCTTTCAAACTGCTTTCTAAATGAGTTTAAATACCTGTTCTTATCTTGATGATTGAAACAAGGAAAGAAATCTACACGACCATCACCATTACGATAATAATGTTTAGGCATACAACGTTCACTGTAAGTAAAGGTAGGGAAAAATACTCTGCCACCTTTATCATAACAGTCTATTACTTCTTGACGTACACGAAGCCACCATTGATTTTGCATATCCTTACGGCAACCTTCACACTTGCCACAAGGAGAAGTAAACATAGGTTTATCTAAACCAAGTAGGAAACTACGAGTACGATTTACAAATGTATTTGGATGTTCACAAGCCATATTCAATTATTTTTACTTTTTGGTTAGTTTTATTCTTAGATAATCTTATCTTCTTTAATATAGAAGAATATATTAATAGTATATATATAAGTACCATTGAGGACTTTAAGAACACTTTTAGAGTACTTACATAATATTTATCGCGGTTATTAGGTAAATTTTGACAAATTATTAGCGAACTTTGGTATTATTAACACTTTTAACTAAAATATTATCTCGTGTGATACATTTTGCACACGGAATGATAGTTTTTTAATAAGGTATACTTATATGTCAAATTTTGAGAATTCTGTCTAATAATAGACTTTGTAATTATGTTTTACTAATAAATAGTACTGTTTTTGAAAAAATACTCAATAGGAATAATTTTTTTTTGTTTTTTTTTATTTTAACGATTTAGAATGATATTAACTATTTAACCTAAATCGGTTTATACGAAATAAACTTCACTGACATAAATTATGTCGTGAATTAGCATTATTAAATAGGACGTATCCGTCTGCTCGTCTGAGTAAACTCGCAAAATAAAAAAGGTAGGCTTTTATACCTACCTAATTTATCACATATTTTAATAGGAACGAACTCCACCACCTGCACCACTTTTATTTGGTTTAGATTTTTGTTCTTCTTTATCTTTAATCATTTTACCTACAGGGTCAGAAACCAAATTATGAAGTGCCTTATACGGATTATCATAACCATCTGTATCCAACTTTTTAAGTTCAAGATAAAGTTTAGTTGCGGCTACTTTATCGATTCCAATTGCTTCAATGGCTCTTTGAGTCGCTTGCTTATTTTGCAAATCAATTGCACCACTTGCAACAAGAATCTTAAATTGTTCAGTCTGTTGTTTTGTCAATTCAACACGTTCTGTAATCTCATTAATTTGAGCATCATAAACCTCTAAATTTTTAATAGCAACCTTTGCTTGAGCGGCTGACAACTTACCATCTTGATACAACTTATAAACCTGAGCTGCTGCAATCCTATTCTCATTACTCATACGCTGTTCGTTGAAACCTTTCTCCTGCAACCAACGTTCAGAAGCAATCAAAATGTCATTAGTAATTTGTTCATTTTCCTTTTTAATCAAATCAATCTTTGCCTCAATCTCTTCACCTTGTTTACCAAGTAATTTGAGATTCTCTTTGAGAACAGCAATATTTGCATCTTGTTCTTCAAGTGCCTTTTGTACACCTTTGTGAGCATCATCAAACTGTCTCTGTAGATTATCATTAGTAATACCTTGTCCTTTAGCCTGTTCTTCTACAAGTTTAGCCTGTGCCTCTGCTAACTTAGTTGTAGCATTAGCCTGCATAAAAGACGCCATATCCATAGGAGTAGCAAACATATCTGAACCTTTAGACGATGGAGTAGGGGCGGTAAGAGGAGCACTATAATTACCTTCTGAAATCATAGCGGGATTAAGACCTGCATTAAGTAAGGACTGTTTTTGATACTGAGCATTATTAAGCATATTCTGAATGTTCATTTGATTAGTACGGTCTTGTTGATAAGCGAATTGCTTGTTCTGTAGTTTTATATTTCGTTTGGCGAAGATAGCATTAAGTCCTGTACCTATTGCTGACTGTGCTGCAGACGTTGCAGCTGCTTGACCAAACGCTCCAAAATCGAATGCCATAGTTATAATTATTATTAATTTTATTATTAGTATTATTTATAAAAGAAAAGGGAGGGAGAATTTTCTCCTCTCCCTAATCGAGAATTAAACCTTTTCAACTTCTATTGTACCATTATCTGAGCGGTCGAAATCTTCATAAGAAGAAGACATAGAAAGCATAGGAGTAATAGCCTTAACTTCAAAGACATTGTGAATTATGAAATTGTCGGGAACATTATCTGAGAATCCTCTAAATTCCTCATCACCACTGTTATCGAAAATTCGGTCGTAATTACCGAGCCAAGGTTCTCTACCAACGTAACGCCAAGAGGTAGAAGCAACCAAATTTTGAGGGTCGAAATAAGTTACGAATCCGTCTGTTTCATTAACCTTGTGACCTCTTGCAATAGCGATGTTCTTATCCAAGGTATAAGGCAACATATCATCTTTCATAGAACGGAGGGACATATCACCATTAAGGACATTCTGCTTTGTTTTATATTCAGTATAACGAGGAACGAGACCGAATGAATTATTAGCACCGATACCAAGACCATAAGACTCAATAGTATCATCTGTAATTTCACCGATAACTTCGGCTTTCTTCATAACTTGATAACCGACAGCGTCAAACTCTGAGGTGTAGAAATCATAGCGACCAAGATGGAGGACATTTCTGTCAATACCTTGATTGTAATTTCCCTTTGGAACGATACAACCGAGGGTAAACCAATAACCGAAAGTAGAGGCTGTGAATTTCTTCTGTGAACCGCTTCCGCTACCTGTACCTTGACCTGCATAATCACCGAGAGGCATAGAACCTGCATCTGTAGAATTCATAACATCACTAATCTGTACTGAAATGGAATCTGAGCCGATGTAATTTGACTCGTGGGCATCCATATACTTAGCACCATAATGAGCACTGAGATAGTCTGCAATACGTCCACCAATGACATTATTTTTATTAATCATCTTAGTAAGTTTTTCCAAGATGTCAAGACGAGTCTGTCCGATAGCATTGGTAGAATCTATATAAGGAAGATTTCCATCAGCGGGCTTATTCCAAGAAAGAGCAGAACCTCCATAATCAACAAAATTCACATTCATAGAACTTTGTTCGAGGTTAACTGTCTGCTGAGCAATACTTACACTATTAGGACTCTCTGTATAATATGTCTTAGTAGCAAGGTCTTCAAGGAACTTTGCAAAATTAGCAATACTTGCCATTGAAGTTGTATTATTACTCTGTGCTTGCATAATTACCTTTGCACACCAAGTATCTTTCCAAGTAAGATTTCTCTGAACCTCAAAAATATCAAACCATACTTTATAGTAAGCGAACAATGGAAGAACTGAAACATTAATATTCTGTGTTCTAAAGTTAGGCTTATAACCACAACCAATAAGAATTTGTCTCAAGTTACGACCTGCACGGAGCAACTTATAACAAGCAAGGTATATCTTACTACCATTTTGGAATACCATTGTATAGTCGGCAGAATCGAAAGTAACTGCAAAATTACCTGCTACATAGGTAGGCTTAAAATTAAGAGTGGCGTTTGAAACGTTATGAGGAAGAACACCTGCAGTATGCATTGTGTTAAACTCAGCAGTACTCAATGGAGTAAGGTCGTCGTAATCCCATCTATGCTCATTATTATCGTTATCATAACCATTAATCTCATACACTGTACACTCTGACCAACTACCTATAAGATAGCGTGAAATTACACTAAGACCAATATAAGGCACGCTATTAGGAATATATGATGAGCCATTCTGTGATGCATAAGGCTGTTCTGAAATGAAACTTTCAAACGGTTCCCAGATAGTACTCATAGGTACAAATTGGTGGAACATATTATAACTTACACGTGCCATAGTAGGGCGAACCATAGGAGCAAGACGAACAAAAGAATTTGCCTGTACTTCAAGTGTCTCGTGTGGAATCATCTCGCGGCACATAAGGGGCTGCACAAAGCCCCAATGGGCTGTAGTTGAGTTATCAAAGGAAAGGTCGAGCACTTCTCTATCACGTACCGACTTACCTACCTTAATATTAGGAATTGAATTTGCCATAGTTAATTATAGTTTTAATTTTTATTCTTTATTTTCTGTAACTGTTTCGACTGATTCGGACTTTTGCTTGTCCTTATAGTCAAGGTCTAACAACTGATTAAAATTTTTTTCACTCAAGTAATCTTTGAGAGCATCAAGTTCAACAGGGTCTGTTGAATCGAGGAGATGACCGACAGGAATTGTTTTAAGGTCAACACCTGCCTTAATTAAATTCTCAAGGGTGTAAATCTCAGAATCGGGCAACTGCTTTTCTATAGTACTCATAGGAGTTTCTTGAAAAACAACCTTCTGAACGATACCACCGTCTTCATTTTCTTCTGAAACAATAGAACGAACTATTTCTGTTCTTTCAATGTTTGCAATCTGTGGAACATAGCCACACTTTTTCTTTCTAATAAATCCCATAGTTTTTTAGTTTTAATTATTATTTTTGTTATAAAATCAAGGCAAACAAGTGCCGAGAATAAGCCATACATTTTAATAGTCTCCTTCATAATGTCTCTTGTTATCTGTCCATTTTTTAATTAAGTTAATTTTTTGGTCGTTAGGCAACTTTAACCATACATCAGTAAGCCTTGAATTAATAGACTTTACTTTTTCCTGTAAATCCTTAATTTGGTCTTCGTGATGAATAAGTGCTTTGAAATTCAACACTACGAAGAAAACCGCAAACGTAATGAATAGGATGTCAATAATAGTTGCAATAGTAGTCATCTTGATTTAGTTTTTATTCTCTTTGTTATTAAATTCTATACCTAACATAGAAGAAGTGAACATAAGCAACTGAGCAATAAACCATAAGACGGTCGAATCTATAATGCCTGTAGGGGGAGTAACAAAACCTGCTACACCGAAGCATATACTACAAATAAATGATGCTATACTAAGCCTATATTTCAACTTTGTTTTCATAGTTAAGTTTTAGTCTTTATATATAAATAGTATTTAGTTTTGAAAAGTTATGTTTTACATAATATTTATTTCAATTTTTTTTGGGAAAATGTGCCATTTCACTTTCTACGAAAGTATCAATAACACTGTGTGACCGTCTGGCGACGGCACACATTACCGTTTGTAGAATTTAAATATCTGTTGTGTTCTTGATAATGTCTTAATATTAAATGCCTGCTGTTTAAGTTCTGCCTTAACTTCACGGAGTTTCTTTTCTTCATCTAATCTTACTTTAAGTCTACGCATAGAGGCTAATTTCTGAATATACTCAAGAATTTCTAATATATGGTCAAAACCTTTAAAACAAGAATGATTGTTATATGAAGCGGAATTTAACTCACATAAA